GCCAGACCAGTTGTCCTGATAATTCCTTGATTATGGTCCAGGTCTACTCCCTGGGAGTAGTCTCCTAATCCATTGTTCTCAGCTTCTCTTGGCTCTGCAATACTGACTCTTGGCTCTGCACTACTGACTCTTGGCTCTGTTCTCTGAGTCACCCATCTTTTTCAATAAGAAATTATCTGTGGTTGCAGTTGCAAAGCTTTCTCAGCCTGCTTCTTACCTGTAGAAAGCTGGAGGCTCAGAGACTATTTCAGGCCTTCTCAATCCCTTTTATTTCAAGCTGGTCATGCTTTCACCAGAACAATCTTCTTGACAATTTTGTGGGCTTTCTGTGTATCTTATTATAATCCATTCTCTTCAACAAAGGCTGCATCCACAAATCCCTTTGAGATAGGCCCCTGGCTGCCTTGGGATATGAATCAGGGTGCTGTGGGACAAAGTCTCTAAGACTCTTAGGAACTCTTATTTTCTAAATGAGAGGGTCTACCAGACACACCACCTTAAACCTTTCAAAGACCTTATCAAGGAGGTCTTTGAAATGAAGCCATTTATTACTTTGAGACTTTTTGCTGGCTGGATATACTGTACTAGATGTTCTTTATTTCTGCTAGATTCTGCTAAAAAACTAAATAGATTTTCAGGTCAATTCATGTCTCTCTTATTGTATCATATTCAGCTAAGAAGCCAGTCAGAACTTTCTATATCCTGCTTGGAATCTCTTTAGCCAGGTCTGCACATTACTTGGTAGATTTCCTATTGTCCACATTAACGCAGGCAACAGTGTTACTAAACATTCCACGGCTACATAACACAGGTGATCCTTTTTCTAGCCTTTCTTAGCAACTTCACTGTTCTTCTAGGCTCCACGGACAGTCTCCTCACCACCCTTCCAATTTCCACTTGCTGCCCCTTTTCGACATCATTGCCGTATGCTTTATGTTACGGCAATACTCTACTTCCAGGTATGAATTTTTTCTATCAGTTTTTATTGCTGAATGACAAAACGCTCCAAACTCTAGTGGCTTAAAACAATCTTTTACTATTATGATTCTGAGGATCAGCTGGGCCCAACGGAACGCAGTGGTTCTACTCCATGTGTTGCTGACTAGAATCTTCCTTTCCTACTATTCTGCAGTGCCACTAGTGTCATAAATCTAGTGAGATATATTTGTGAGTCTGTTTCTGGACTCAACTGGTTTATGTGTCTATTCTTATGCCAATATCTCATGCTCTATTTACACTAACTTTATAGTAAATAAGTCCTGATACCATGTAGAGTAAGTCTTATTATTTTATTCTTTTTCAAGTTGTCTTTGCTGTTCTTGACCCTTTCCATTTTCATACACATTTCATAATTAGTTTGTCAAACACACACACACACACACACACACACACACACACACGTGCACACAAACAGCCCACCCCACTGCTGGGTTTTGATTAATAGATTAATTTGGTACAACTAACATCTATATAGACGTTACTGTTACTTAGATCTTTAAAAATTTCTCTTGATAAAATTTTTAGTATTCTATGTGGAACATTTGTACCTCTGATTTAAATTGGATTTTTAAAAGTTATTATAAATGACATACTGTTTTTTAATAAAAATTTGTTGTTAGTATACAGAAATTCAAATTTTTTTATGTTGACCTTGTGTATAGCAACCTTCCTAAACATGCGTTAAATCTGACAATTTACCTGTATATTCTTCAGTATTTTCTACATACAATTATGCCACTAATAAATAATGATAGTTTTTTCCTTTTCAATGATTATAATTTAATTTTCTTGCTTTATTACATTGGACAAAATTCCAGAACAATATTGAATAAAGATGGTAGTGGCAATTATAAGGAAAGTTTCAACATTTTACTATTAAGTTTAATGTTTGCTAGTTTCTTATAATATGTGCTAATTTGGATTAGGAAGTTTCTTCTAGTTCTAGGTTGGTAAGATTTTTTTTGTTATGAATGGGAGTTGAATCTTATCAAATGCACTTTTTGTATCTACTGAGATTTTCATGGTTTTCTCCTTTGTTTTATTAATGATGAGAAGTGCATTGATTTTGTAATATCAAATCAAATTTACATTCCAACTTGCTGGTGATATATTAACATTTTTAATACATTGCTGGGTTTGGTGTTCTAATATTTTGACTAGGATTTTTGGACCTATGTTTATGGTAATAAACCTATAATATTCCTCTCTTATAAGGTTCTTGTTGGGTTTTGGTGTTAAGGTTATGCTGACTTCATAGAAGGACCTGGAAATAATTCCCACTTTTTCTATTCTCTGGAATAAGTTTGTTATTTCTTCCTTAAATGTTTGGTAGATAAAAATATTGGTTCCAGGAGTAAGGTGCTGCCATACCAACATCAATACATTCCAAATTATGTGACATTAACATCCAGTCTGGCAGCATGAAATTGTTTTTGGAGACTTGGACAGTCAGCAATCCATGTTACCAAAAAAAATGTATAAAAGTATAGTCTAGAATAGCTTAAAAGGCATATTACATACCTAATGAGCTTGTACTTTATACAAAGAGGTAGAAAATGACTGTTATTAGAATGTGTTCATTTCTACTGGCTGCATTTGCCAAGGTACTACAAGAATTAAAGAAGCTCAGAAAATATTTGGCTGGTTTGCCAGCAGGA